GTCTGCAGAAAATGGGATTTTATTTAAACATTCAAACTGCCTGGCTTCTTAAGGTGATCTTCTACTTTTAAAATAGAAATCTGAATCTTCAAAAGCATTTTAGGGAATGACTAGGGATATTGTCGGTTTCCTAGGTAATCCTGTATCTTGACTAAGTAGTAGAAATACTGATTTAGATACTTTTGATCAATCCATTCGTACAAGTTAAGGCTTCTCTCTGCCTTCAAAGTCCTTTACCTAAAGTACCAGAAAATTCCCGTGTTTTCAAGTGCACCCAATCTGCAGTCCACAAGTCACCTGCCCTCTTTTTTTTTTTCCACTTTTTTGGGGACAAGTCTCACTATGTAGTTCAGACCAGCCTTGAACTTGGCAGTCCTTCTGCCTCTGCCTCCTCAGTGCTGGCATTACAGGCACCCAACACCACATCTGGCTTTTGAAAATGTTATATAACAAACATTAAAAAATAAAACAAGTTTGGCGACTTTTATACAGTAACTACATTCTACATTTTCTAAAGGGCTAAGACCTTTCCTCTTTCCTCGAAGTGGCCTGGCGAGCCAAAAGGCTGGACACACCTGCAAATGGTTCGGTCTCAAGGGGTCCCTACATGTGCTCACTCATGACTCACCAATCCATCCCTGCCAGAACGGCTCCTGAGACCATCTGAGACAACAGAAGAGAAGATTCCAACTTTCTCAGTTCCACGTGATCTTAGTTATCACTTAACAAATTTAAACTTAGCCGAATTTTTTTCTGTGGCTCTGGAGATCAAACCCAGGGCACTGCGCATGCTAAGGTGCTCTACCAGTGCTCTACCCCTAAACTACACCCTCAGCCCTAAATTTTTTACTTAAGGAAAACAGATCTAGAGATTCAGAGATTTGCCACAAGTCTCTCTCCTAAAAATTCTTTTAGACTGCACTCAGAAAAAGTGGGCTACTAATCTCAAGTTCTTTTCACTCAGTTCTTTCCTACACACTCTATTTATTCATCTCATCTACTGAAGACCTACCTCAGGTTATGGTATCGAGAAACAGGGAAATTTAAGAGACAACAACAAAGCCAGTATGGTGGCACTCAGCTATAATCAACCCCAGCACTGGGGAGGCTGAGGCAAGAGGCCCACAAGTTCGAGACCAGCCTGGACTACACAGTGAGATCTTGTCCCAAAAAACAAAAACCAACAACAAAAAACTCCCGACCTTAGTAGGCGGAAACAAACACACAAGTATCAAGCAGTACTGTGCTTAGAAGTATGTCCAGTGAAAATCCAGGTCACGAAAGCGGGAGCTGTCGTTTTTTATGTGCGACATGAGGAAAGAGATGGAGAAGGTGAAGACTACCCTGTTCTTGCCCTCACAAGCCTAGCACTACTTACAAAGCGGGTCTCCCCACGGTATCTGTGAGTCTTTTCCCAGCACATCTCTATCTCTCTGTCTGTCTCTATCTGTCTCTGTCTGTCTCTCTCTCTCTGCTTGGTTTTTTGAGAAAGGATCTCAGGAGGCAGTGCAGGCTGGCCTTGAACTCACCACGTAGCCCAGACTGGCCTATACTCCTCCTGCCTCAGCCTCCTGAGTGCTGAGTGCTGAGTGGGGTTGTAGGCCGCTATGCCCAGCTCTCTCTTTTCTCTCCTCCACCCACTGCAGGGCTGAGGCTGTGACCTAGGTCCCTCGCGTAACAGGCAACGGCTCTACAGCTCTTAGGGATTAAGAAAGGCCCAGATTATCTTCAGGTTTGAAAAGCACACTATATTTAAATGTGAAGAGATACCAATAAATAGTCATAAAAGTTGCATATTTAAATGATTACATTTAATAATTTTAATTGCATGTTAAACATCTTCTTTTACCTTGCTCTTTGTGACTACATACATGGCCTCGTTTGAACACAGTAAAGTCCAGGCCCTTCCTAATGTCAGGCCTGAGTGAGGGGGAGGGGAGGGGGGAGGGCGAAGGGGGAGGGGGAGGAGGCAGCAGGCCCTCGCACCTTCTCTGCTTTCCTCCATAGCAGAGCCCGCACTCTGCTAAAGGCTAAGTGAAAATGACTCCCGAAGCCAAAACATTTCTCCCTCCAACAGGCGTTTAGGATTAAATTGTTAATCCAAAGAATGAGCTCCACTGAGACTGCATCCTAGCGTCCCTCAAACAGGAAGCACGGCCTCTATAACCAATTCATTCCCACCTTGGACCTTTTTGTGTTTATACACATGGGGAAAAAATACAACTGAGATGCACGAAGATAAAGTGACCTTTTATATGCTAGCCATTTGACACAAATTTTAATTTAGTTCAATCTTAATCAGAAACAGGCTCATTCTGTGGCATCAGAGTTCTAGTGAGGATGCTTTGCCCTGAAGTTGCCGTTTGAGGAGGCTCAAGAATCTTCAGTCATTCGTCATCCAGAAACCTGTGTGAAGGCTGCAGGCACGGTTGGTTTATAGGAGGGAGTCAGGCACGCAGAGCACAATGACATTCTTAATCTAGCTCAAGTAGCAAACGCACAGCACAACTCGTCCAGCCGTACACTGCGTGCTGATACTTAACATGCTGTTCCGACCTGCACTCCTGCACAGAGACATGTTCGTCATCCAGGACGCACTCCTTTCTGTCTTGGTGAGCCTAGCACTTGAAGACAGAGGATGAGTCATAACCTTTGAATCCCTAAAAGCCTGGATGACTAGTCCTTTTCTCTCTCCCTCCTTGCTCACCCTATTTTCAAATCGGGCATCAGTGCAAGGAAGAGATTCCAAGTTTGAATCAAGAACTCTGCTACCTTCGGGTCCACCGATGCCCCGGGCCGTCTCCATCTCAAGCTAGCGCCATGGCACAGACCACGCAAGCTAGTGTTTCTCACAGATGCGAACAGTTTTCCAACGTATGTTGAAAATCACTTGAAGATAATTTTGAAATAGTTGAAAAATTTTAAGTATTACTGAACTCATTTTATCTTCTCACGTATTTCTATTAGTGAGCTAATAACTGAATATCTACCTCACTATTATGTGAAGGCCACTATGCTGAAAAGTGTTTACAGTGTTTTACAGAAGAATGTAATGAATGAGCTACAGAGATTAGGATACCTAAGCACAAAATGAAAGGGAATAGGCTTAATAACAGGATGTTATCACTTAGGGAATAAACAGCCAGTAGCTAGGATAGCAAACAACAAATCAGTAACAGAATTCGGAAGCCCCTGGGCTACAAAGTGAGCTCAAGGCCACCGGGACTGCCTAATAAGACCCTGTCTCAAAAAGAGAGGGAAAAAAAAAAAAAAAAAAAGAGAGAAAACCACAAACTTATAACCAGCCTATGGTATTACTTTGAAACATACAACACTAACACCAACAATTGGGGGAAAACTTGTAAGTCTACAAGTAGCATAGGCGACTCTATCTCTGTCATGGACTACTCAAACAGACAAAACAGACTATAAAAGGTCTGACTCACATAAGTAAAACTATATCCAAACAAAAGAAAATATGTTTTGTCTTCAAGCACACATAACATACTCAACAAAATCACTTACTATGTCTCAAAAGAATTTCCAAGAACTGATATTATACCAACCATGTCTTTGGGGCATAACACAATCAATTTAGAAATATTACAGAGACTAAAAGAGATTTGAAAACTTTAAAATACACTCTGAAATAACACACATGGTTAAAGAGGAATTCACATCAAAATTATGAAATATTGGGCTGGGGATTTAGCTCAGCGGCAAAAGTGCCTGCCTGGCAAGCGCAAGGTCATGAGTTTGGTTCCTGGTACCGGAGAAAAACCAAAAAAAAAAAAAAATTATGAAATATTTAGGGCTGAACAACAAGGTGTGTGTACCAGTAGCCTAACTTGTAAGATGACTTAAGACAAAATTGAGAGCCTTAAATATATTTATTTGAAAACAAAAAAGATTAAACAAAGACTGAAGCATCAGCCAGGCATGGTAACTCATGCCTGTAATCCCAGCTACTCAGGCGGCTGAGCCAGAAGAACTGGAAGTTTGAAGTGATCTTAGACAACTTAGCAAGACCACTTCAAAATAAAATAAAATAAACAGCTTAGTGACTGCCTAGCACGTACAAGGCCCTGGTTTCAATCAAGAACTCCCCAGCACCAAACAAACAAACAAAAAAGGTAAATAATAACTATGGGAGAACTGTTTAATAAAGTGGATCTCTGGGGAGGAATTAATAAAAAAGCTCTAACAAGAACACTAAGAAATAAGACAACAGATAGAAATAAACAATACTGAAGAGAAAAGGTGATTTAGCTATAGAGATGAAAAACAAAACTGTATTAATTTTACATGAATGTGGGAGGTCAGATGAAATGGATCACTTCCTAGAAAAATATTGTATGAAAACCTATTTGCAATGAATTTAAAACCTGAAGTAGACAGTAAAAACAAACAATGAATAAGCAAATCTCTTCCAAAAGACATGCTTTTCTCCTCCACAAAGTTTTAGATACAAGTACTGTACTGCCAATCTTTCAGGAGCTTTATCTTAATGAACTGTTGCAAAGACAGGAAAATATTTTATGACGCCTCAAACAACCTTGACAGCAAAACTGGGCAAGAACAGAACAAGAAAAGGAAATTATTTTCACGGCCCCTCATGAGGAAAGAAGCTACCGCAAGTCAGCACTGTGATTTTTTTTTCCAATAACCATCAAACAGGGTTTACCCTGAAAAGCAAGCACGGCTTGTTACCAGAAAGTCTATATTCCTGTAGCAGACTACACACTGCCTTAGCGGAGTAAAGGTATAAAAATTATGTGGTCATCTCAATGGAGACAGAGAGAATATTAAATAAATGAGGCTAGGGGTGTAGTTTAGTGGTAGAGCACTTGCCTAACATAAGCGAGGCTGGGTTCTACAATAACAAAGAACCTCTTACTGTGGGCAGGAGATTTATAGATTAGAAAAAAGTACCTGTAAGGAAAGCTTTAAAAGTAATTCAATTTATTTGAAAAAAAAAAAAAAAAAGAGAGGCTATGCAAAGAAGCTAACCATTAACCAAGTCCCCCTCCCCCCTTGTTTCAGGGATCTTCGTGTACGCATAATTTCACTCATTTAAGCCTTACTCAATTATAAAAGACTGTTGGAAGGGAAAGAGCGTCTCAGCGTGCTGAAATGAGCATAAGACTTGGAGTCAGAGTGTTCTAGGTCAGAATCCTACCTCTGCTGCTTTCAAAGAGTCACTGAGCTTCTCTGGGCCCCAGCTGCCTCTTCTGCAAAATGGGGTGGATTAAATAACCATACCATTTTTGTAAGTTCTTTCATTTCTACTAAGGAAAGAACAAGGAAGATTTTAAATGGCCATAGAAAACAAACTGTTGAGCACTTCTTAAGTTGGGACTAGACCACCTAGGAAAAGTCAAGGTATGAGCTACGGGAATACATATATGTAATTGCTTCTAGTGTTTGCTTGTTTTTGCATGGTAGAGATGGGGCAGCCAATGACCTCAACTCCTTTACAAAACATAAATAACCCCTATGATTTCTTAAATCTTTAAAATTTTATTACTTGAACTTCTTTATGAGTTGTAAGGAAATGAGGACATCACCAATTATATCTGCATTATTACTTTTTAAAAAATACTTCAGGAAAAGTATAAGTTACTATCATTAAAGAGTGGCACAAAGTTAGTGCTGCCTGGAGACTGAGAGATGCGCCCTGTTACTTTCTGGAAGGCCAGACTGTGGGAAGAATGCGCGCCTGGAAGCCCTGCACATGGACGAGGGAACCTGTTTTACCACTTTACCAGCTGAGCAACCCCAGGTAAGTGAAGATGTGTCAAACCTTAGTCTTTGTATCTATACAATGGGTTTGCTGATATCTAAAAATTAGTGTTCTCAAAATTACATGAGAAAATGAAAAATTGTACCTCACTGAGTAATATTCTGTAATGAGTTCCCTTGTTCAATAATATATAGTCTATAAGTGTGAGTTCCCTTGCTCAATAGTAGATATTATTCTTATTCTACACACGGTGAAAATACTATTGCATGTTACCAGTTAATTTCTTAAACAGGAAGAGTACACAAAGTAAACCAAAGATTTAATCCCTGCCGAACTGTCTGGAACTTTCCTGCAAACCAACACACTGATTCAGTTCATTACTGCGAATTCTCCAAACTTCACAAAGAAAGTCTGTACAAAACAGCAGTAGCCAGCTGCGCTTCATGTGGTGAGTCCAAAGGTGAATGTTTCCAGTGTGGGCCCTTGATTTCGGTCAGACACGCAGCAAGGCAGCTGGCAGATGGGAATGATTATCTCACAGAAACTTGGTCAGGTCTCTTACAATGACAGTGGAAAGGATCACAGAAACCCTCAAGTCAAAAAACCAAAACATGAAAGCACATATTAGCCTCTGACAAGCAGAGGACACTGAGTGGTAGGATCAAAAAATTCATTCTAAAAAAAGACATTCTGGGCACTTCACCCACAACTGCGTGTACAAATACAAATGACATCACAAATCAATTTTGGTGCTCAGGATCAAAAGCAAAGAAAAAGTTAAAGCTAAATATAAGTGATGGTGATCTAGAAAGTGATACTATTACTTCAGGTCAAAGAAAGCTAAATTAAATATAAGCATGTTTGAACCCTTTGGAAATATCTTCTTTGAACATGAATATAAATTATGTAAAAACATAAAAGTACAGATAGCATAATTGTGCTTCCGTGATAAAGTTTAAGGGTTACAACAAGATCATTCCCCAGGGAACGTGATTAACGGCAGTCACGTAGCAACGGGGCACCCTTTCACACAGTATTTTTGGAAACGCTCTTTTATTTATTCAAAAGGCCTAACATTGCAATATGTTTCAAAAATAATCCAAGCTGGTAACTCAATCCAAGTGTCGATGATTTCAGACTGTTCAGAGGGGTGCTGAGGCAGAACGTGACACTTCACAGTTCTAAACGCAACTGTCACCTGCCTGCCAGCAGCCGGGGTGCACTACGCCCTTCTCAGGGGTTTGTACCACCAGACCCCCTCAGAAGCGACGCCCTGTGATGCGTCCAGGTAGAGCGCTCTGCGGTGGGGCCCAAGAACTGCCTGCTCCCTTCATTTGTGCTCCATCGCGGAAATAACGGTGCAATTCCACTGAATACCAGGAAGGCAGTTTTTCCCAAGTAACATAATTTGCCATAAACATTTCTCATCAATGTGAGGCAAATCCACGCTGACAGAAAATGAATCTGGCTGATCTGATGAGCAACTTACCCTCCCAGCGCTACCGGTAGCACCTATTATTCATTCTGTATTGGCTATGAGTCCTCCCAGAAAACCACTTTCACGATGTCACCTGTAGCCAGTTGTAAATAGCTCTGCCAAGCTTTCGAGGCCCTTCATCACCAGGGCCCAGCTCCCCGCCAAGCTCAGTTGCTCCGGCTCCCACCGGGACTGCTCCTCACAGGCCCCAGGGCTTGCTAGCCATTCCCTGTACCCAGAGTTCACTCTCTCTCTTCCTCTGCTCTTCCAGGCCCCACCTGCTGCGTGAAGCCTCTCTCCAGTGGTTCCACCTATGGTGACTGGTCTTCTTCTCTGCACTCTGACTCCTACTATGAAGTCAGCCTGTATTACATTTCAACATTCTTCAACTATTTCTTTTTTTTCAAAGTTTTCTCAAGCTGAGCATGTTGGTGCACGCCTGAGGCTGAGGCACGAGGATTAGGATTGTGAGTTCAAGGCCAGCCCAAACTGCATAGTGAGATCCTGCCTCAAAAGAACAACAGCTGGGCGGGGTGGCACACGCCTCTAGTCCCAGCACTCAGGAGGCTGACGCAGGAGGATCACCAAGAGTTCGAGGCCAGCCTGGGCTACATAGTGAGACTCTGCCTCAAAATACAAAGACAAAAAAATAACTTTCCTCCATAGCATCAATTTCCTCCTTTGTTTCTTCATGATAGACACAAAAATAAAATACACATATAATATGCCCCAGCATACCACCATATGTGTACCTGGAACTGTACACAACTCCCAGCCATAAGACCTATAATTCCACTTATTTCTCTCCACTAAGGAATTCATAATAAAAGCAGGAGAGTATATTACATTTAAATGAAAGATTTAAAAAATAACTTAGAAGCGATACATTTTATTATTATTATATGTGGCTTTATGTTCAATTTATTTTTTAAAGTAAAGCACTAGTAAACTTTGGCATTTTATTACTATTAATAAATCACTTGTAATACATCTCACAAATGATTACTACATACTGATAAAAACTGCTATTCTATACAGCAATCAGCATGCTATCCCATTCATCAGTTACACATAATGAGCAGTTACGGCTGCAGCTGGGTGACGATGATGATGATGCTATATAGCGACAGTGATGATATAGAGTGCAGCAAGCGGCTCTCCTGACAGTCTCGGACGGCCCAGTGACTTCTCCGGGGTGAGTCTCACTGCTACTGTAACAGCACAGCCTAGCAGCTGTACTCTGCCTGAACTTCACGCCGATCAGGGCGGTGTTCATGGCAACCATCATGCAACCGTCTACCTCTTGAGCAATAGTGTGGCTACTACTGCAATCTTGGGTAAACTTAATAAACTGTGAACTTTAGCTACCAGTGCAGTCAGAGAGCCTTTGCTCTACCCAGAAGAAAGCCTTCCAGTGACAGTGCCAATCTTGTTCTATTTTCAAGTGGTTCCCTTACAATAAGGAGTATTCTGAGTGGTGGAGGTCCTGCACTGACAATGAGAATTCAAACACTGGTTAGATATCCCTTATGCAAAAACCCTTTGGAGTAGGAAGGTTTCAGGTTTTCAAGTTTTTCAGGTTGTACAGTTTGGTTTTTCTTCTGTTTTGTTCGTGGACTTTGGAATTTCAAGTTAGGGATTGTTATGGTTTGTATCTGGATGTCCCCTCAAAGCCTCATCAGCCATGGGGCGGGCTTCTAAGTTTATGATTGATTCAGGGTCCAACTTGGGATTATGGGTGTGAGTGCTGCACGCGCCCTGGGGCGCATAGTTTGCATACAATGTAAGGGAGGGAAAGAAGCTGCATGCTGCCCATCCTCCCTTTTTGCTGTTGTTGCTTTTGCTGTTTTCTGCCACAATCAACGGTTGCCCCCTGCCATGTGCCACTCTGCCTTGGAGCCAGCCGAGTACAGACTGAAACCTCCACAAACCGTGAAACCTTTCCTTCCTTAATTTTGAGCATCAGGTATTTTGTCTCAGCAACGAGAGAAAAATAACCAGGATGGTCTACTTGCATGTCAGTTTTAACTTGTACGGAGCCCATTTTCAACACGCCTTAATTGTTAATGACACAGTCTATTATTTAACTTTACTATATTTGAAATTCTAAAAATGTTATATTCTTCCCTTTAAAAAAAAAAAAACCCTAAATATATTTCAGGTGGCTTAGGTGTATAAATCTATCAACAGGCCAAGAATCTACTATATTCTCTGGCCCTGCCATCCTAGCATTCTTGGAGACTGATCTAACAATGAATTTCTAAAATTTATTTTCTTCCTCAGTGCTGCCTAAGCAGTCACTATTTAGAAACCCTTGTAAAAGCAGACTGCAGAGGAGCTTAGCTCAGTCAGGCCCTGGAAACTTCTGAACATCAAACGAACAGCCCAGAAGAACGTCCTGCTCCACAGTTCCAAGGGCGCCACTAATCGCTTCCATCTGTTTCTCTCCCCTGCCCCCCATCGAGGCATCTGCTGTTTTCTGCTTCATGTGCACTCTAAAGTAAAGCAAGAAAAACATAAAGAACCATGTTTTAAATTACACAATATTTATTTGGACCCAAATTTGCCTGAGAGCCATCTTGCTGTTTCAACAATAGGCTATTTTCACGTAGTACTCCAACATGCAGCATACTAAGCGTATGTATGTAGGTATGTATATGCGTGTGTGTGTGTGTGTGTGTGTGTGTATGGGGGGGGCAGCACTGGGGATTAAACCCAGGGCGTTCACACTGACCTATATCCCAGAGCCTGCCCCCACTTTATGAGACAGGGTCTTGCTAAGTAACGAAATTGGCCAGGCTGGGTTTGAACTTAGTATCTTCCTGCCTCAGCTTCTTAGACTGCTGGGATTACCAGTACCTGCCACAGCACCTGGCTTAAATTATATATACTTTTAAATACCCTGCAAACAAATTTTTCACCTGTTCATAACGCACTATTCCCGCCCCCCCCCCATTCCTCATGAAGATCAAGGTTTTTGTATTATGGTAAAATAATCCTTAAAACTTCTGAAAGGTTTCATCTGTTGATTATCCTTACCTAAACCAACTATTTCTTTTTTTTTTTTTTTGTGACATAGGGTCTCACTATGTAGTCCAGGCTAGCCTTAAACTCACTATGTAACCCAAGCTGGCCCTGAACTCATGGCAATCCTCCACCTCAGCCTCCCAAGTGCTGGGATTACAAATGTGCCCCACCACACCCAGCTGGTTTTCTAATTTTGTCATCCCTTCTATATTTATTGATAAGAATTCTCCCCATCAACTAGGGCTGTTAGGCTGTTCTGAAATAAAGTTTACACAGGAAATGGAGGATAAACATTTCTTTCCTTTAAATTACCAATTACAAAAGCTGGGAGTGGTGCCTATAATCTCAATACTTGGGAGGCTGAGACAGGAGGATTGCTGCAAGTGTGAGGCCAGCCTGGGCTACATGGTGAGTTCAAGGCCAGCCTACACTACAGAGCAAGTCGTTGTCTCAAAAAACCAAAAAATAAAACAGAACAAATTATCAACTATAGAGTAAGGAGTTGGCACCCTAGTAACCCCCCAGAGTGATCAATGAAGCTTTGCTTTTTTGAAGATTTTATCACAACTAGTGTTTACTCCTCTTTAGTTTTTCTAAACCCCCATGAGAAGCTATAGCATCTATCAAGGGTCTGTCTCTGGGAATGGGCAGGGATGAGTTTCCTGACAAAAACCCATTCACCAAGGAAATAATATTCATAGCCTGGAATGTCAGAGCTTTCTGACAAGACTACCTAGTCCAACTACCCACCTGAAATTGCAGTCTTGTTCACTGTCCCATCAAACTCTGTCCCTTCCAGGGGATCAAGGGTAACATGGCAGACACTGGGACTACAGTGGCTTTTAATGTAAGATGCGATGGCTTGGATCTAAAACAGCCCCCAAAGGCCACATGCTGGGGGCCTGCTTGGCAGCTGATGGGCTGTGGGAAGTGATTAGCTCATGAGGCTACTTCAGTGGTGGATTCATACTTTCTGACCTGGGCCGGTTCAGCCCTCCTTAGGCAACCTTGTGGTCCCCCACTCCCGGGAGGTCACCATAGTGATGCCGATCTTAGTGCAGACACCCAATCGGCAAAGCGCACTGCAGCTCAGAACTCCTGGACTCAAGTGATTCTCCCACCTTGGCCTCCCAAATAGCTGCAACTACAGGTGCATGCCAAAATGCCTGGCAGTGGATTCATGTTTCGATGGCATTACTGGGTGGGGGTAACAAACCTACAAGGCAGAACCTTGTTGAAGAAACAGGTCATGACATGTGACTTTGAGAACTGTATCTTGTCCTCAGCCACTTCCTCACTATCTGTCTCTCCCTGTCTCCCACACATGCACACCCTCCTAGCTGTACAAAGTGAGCAGCTTTCCTCTCCCAAGCCTCTCCACCCTGCTGTTTCTGCCTCACCACAGGTCTAAACACAGTGAGGTCTGCTGACCACGGAATGAAACCCCTGAAACCGTGAGCCAAAATAACCCTTTCCTCCCTTCAGGTGTCATGTGTATTTTGTCACAGCCTCGGCAACCTGACCTATATGGTGGACACAAGTTTAAAGTCCAAGGAAGCTAAAAGGAAAAGATACTCAAAAGAGGACCTACACACGGGTGTGGTGCCACACGCCTGTAATCCCAGCACTCGGAAGGCTGAGGCAGGAGGATTGCTGTGAGCTGAAGACCAGCCTGGGCTACAAAGTGAGCACAAGGGCAGCCTGAACTGCAGAGCAAGACCCTGTCTCAAAAAGACCAAAAAAAAGAGGACCAAAAAAAAACAGTAGATGACCCAGTACCATCCTCACTGACACATAAAAGAAACAGCTCTGTAGAACACTCAAGTTAGAAATAAGACAGCAATATGAGTAAAATATTTGCATCTGTTCAATGAAAATAATAGAGCACAAAATAAAGACCTAAGAGCACTTTTAGTTGTATTTAAAATTGTAATACTACATATACATTGAGAGAAATTACATAAAACTGTATGTATAGCATAGTGAATAATTAAGAACTACCACCCATGTAACTCATCACTTAAGTCAAGGAACAGAGTATTATTACCACTTTAGAAGCCTCTGCGCCTCTCCCTGAGTATAAACTACTACTTCTCTGCCGGAGACTTTGGTGACCATTATTCCTTATTAATTTTTATCTATTTGCCATAAAAATAGGCATCCTCTAAACAGCATGAATTATTTTTGCTTGGTGTTGTTTGGCTATTTGTTTTTTGAGACAGGGTCTCCCACTGTACTCCAGGCTGGACTTGAACCTACTATGTAGCCCAGGCTGATTTGAAGCTCCCAGCAGCTCCCAGCAATCCTCCTGTCTCAAACTCCCAAGTGCTTGGTTTAAGGCATGCACCATGCAACTGGCTGTTTTTGAACTTTAAATAAATGGGTCATTCTTTCTACCTACCTACCTATCTGTAATTTCCCCTTTTGGGAGCAGGGTGAGGGGGGTTGAGACAAGGTCTCGCTGTGTAGTCCAGGCTGGCTTGAACTCACTATGTAGCCCAGGCTGGCCTCAAACACAAGGCAATCCTCCTGCCTCTGCCTCCTGAGTGCTGCAATGACAGGTATGCACCATCACACCTGGCCTCCTATAACTATTTTTGAGATTCATTTGTTCCTTTTTTTTCAGCTGAAGTGAAATTCATATAATATAGAATTCAGCATTTTAAAGTGAAAATTTCTCATTTCTTTTTATTACTTATTAAAATTCCAATTTATGGCTACGTTATGATTATTTTAATCCATTCTACTACAGAGAGGGTAGTGGGGTCATCCTGAACAATGATGAAATCTTTTTGTATTTGGACTCCAGTATATACGTGCTTGTGCATTGCTGGAGAACATATGCAGGAGTGGAACTGCCTACCCTCTAATTTACTAAAGGCAAACTTTTCCAAAGTGTCTGTACCAATTTACATCCCCAACAGCAATACATGAAGGTTCCGGGTGCCTGGCCCATGTCCTTATCAAAAACTGTTACCAGACTTCTCAATTTAGGAGTTTATAATTTGCACAAATAAACGTTGAAAGACAAAAAAAGTTGTCACTTCAATTGTAAAGGTAAGTTTTCTATTAAAAAAACTGCTCCTGGAATCCGTTTTTTCAGTGACAGGGTTCTGCTTAGCAACAGAATAGGTAATTACTCACTTAATAAATGCTGGTGGCATATCT